TATTTTGGCAAGAATAAAAGAAGTTTTTAATTTTTTAAACACCATTTTAAGGTCAAAATTATTAGCCCCTTTAAGCGATATATTTTTTTGATAGTCTACAGAATAAACCATAATTATACAATAACTTGCCTAATTACCCTAACCTGCCTAATTCACCTAATTATCCTAGTTAAGCCTTTAAATGTCACTTTAAGCTGTATAGAAGTGTTTTGAAAAATATCTAGTAAAATATTATTTACTATCATGATGGCAAAGATAAAATAAATCAGTTATTAGAAATGAGTTATTAAAACTAATATGTTTAGAATTGTGTTGAATAAATCCGCTCTCCGTTAAACAGAAATTGGGGAAAAAATAAACAGGGCTGGATTTAAATTCAAATCAATCAAAGAAAACACCAGAATAGTTTACTACAACTACTACTACTACTACTACTACTACTACTACTACTAATAATGATATAATTATGAATAAAAATATTATAATAATAACAAAAACAATAATAATATTAATAATAATAATAAATAATATAATACAAATAATAAATGATAATAATAAATAATAATAATATAATAACAATAATAAATAATAATAATGATACTACTACTACTACTACTTAGAATAAATGCAAATAATACAAAATAAAATTTGAAAAATATATTAATTAAAATAAAATAAAAAATATGTAGCACATACATGTATAAATGTGGCTTGATTTAAATACAAAATCAAGGAAAGAAAACACCAGAATAGTTCAATAGTTTTAATTTATAATTAATTTAAAAGTTAAATCAATATTTAAATAAAATGTTTATTAATAATAATTATTATATATTAAAAAGACATACAATTTAATAATAATTAGAGAATAAATATTAAAATAAGTATTTAATTTAAGATTTATGTATATATTATATAAAAAGGATTGCTAAAAAACAGTATTAAATATTGGGTTAGGATAACACCACTTGTTTTTTCTGAATTAGAGACAAGCAAGTATGAGGAATATAATACATAAGTAATCACTGAGGATCTTAAAATGAACTTATTATTTGAAACATTCACACACCATTCAATGTCATTTAAAGTGATGCTGATGCTGCATTTGACCTCTAATTGAGGTGTATTTTAATAGTCAGTCAGCAGGAGGCAGCAATGAGCTGACAAAGCCCCGGATAAAATCTTCTGTGCCAGTTTTGCAGTTTATGTATTATATTCCTCATGCTTGCGTCTGGACGTAAAGGACACTAAAAATCTCTTTAACAATCGTTAATTAAGAATTAAGTTGACATAATTACGTTTTTAGATGGTATTTTAGGACACGGTATTTGAATCAATATATTAAACTGTTCCCTCTAATTGTATAAAGTAATCCTTACGTACATTTAATTTGAAATATCTTTAACAGGATGTTTATTATGAAACGCCAACGGAAGTATTTATATTTAATTTAGTTTCATTTGATTTAAAGTGTTTTATTTTAAGCTAAACGTTTAAATAATTAAAAATATATATGGTGTCATTTTACCTTATGGAAGTTATTTGTTTATTTTTTTAATTAATTAAAATATCGATATTTTTTAAACCTTTATTCATTTATTAATTTTCAAAAATTATGTTTGTTTTTTGGGCGAATTTCAATTGACACGTAACCCACCCGAACCACATAAGACGCAACACAGCCACGTCACTCAAGACTCGAGTTATTTTAATTAAACAAATGTAATGCACGTGTGTTTATAAACAATAACAACAACACTAATTCTCTAAAAATAGCATTAGACGTCTATATACTGTTTTCCCACTACACTATGTCCTATAAAACTATTTCTGTCCTTAAAAGCGGAATGTTTATCCTTCAAATTGTTCTACCACCGAACCATTTTAAAAGAAGCGCAACCAGGAAACACTGCAAACACTACAGCAAACATTAATCTCAGAAAGACAATTTATCTTTCTATCGCACTGAGTTAACGCTGGAGGAAGCCATCGCGCTGTTTGAACTGTATCTCGTGGTCATGATCATTTCTTTTTCGTGGGCTGTTTATTTCATGTTCGTGTCTAAAGCGGCTGTGGGCAAGAATTATGGAATAGACTGGTGAAGGTCTGACGGGGAGTTTCAGACTGAGGTAAAGTTGGGTTCATATTCACGCAATCAGAGTTTCTCATTATTAATGTTAGTAATAAGAGTTGTTCACAATCAAAAAGTTGTGTTAATGTTGGTTTGAAGTCACATTTACAGTACAAATGAAAGTACAAAACTAAGCATATGATTGTGTTAGCTCACTTTGCTAACATTAGTCTTGTGGTGAACAATTCATCTGTTCATGTCATTAAGAACAAAAACAGCTTGCTCTTGTACTCTAAAATTAAAATCTGTATATGTATATATGTACAAAATCTCTCTATATATGTATGTATGTATGTGTATATAAGTATATATGTATATATATATATATATATATATATATATATATATGTATATATATATATATATATATATATATATATATATATATATATATATATATATATATATATATATATATATATAGAGAGAG